AATTTTAATGATAATGGGACAATTCAACAAGATACAATAATCCTAAATTTGTACATTCCCAGTAACATAGATCAGAAATGTATAAAGTAAAACAAGATGCAGCTAAAAAGCAAATTAGATAAACCCACTATCAGTGGAGATTTTTAAATACCTTTCAGTTACTGATAGAACACACAGACCAAAAACAAACTAGTAAAATCAGAAAGGACCCAAAATATCTGAAGAATATAACCAACAAATGTTACCTACTTGACATACATAGATAATCACGCCCAATAAACTGCAGAATATATATAATTTTCCAGTGCACATACTAGAAGAAAATATTCACAAAACATATATTGATTGACCAAGTATCCTGGAAATTCTACAAACTCAATTTAAAAAGAAAGCCCGATTTTTAAAAAATGGGCAAAATATTTGAACAGATACTTCCAAAGATATGTGAATGATCACTAAGTCTATGAAAAAGAGCTCAACAACATCAATCAGCAGGGAAATGTACATTAAAACCTAACTGAAACACAATTACACACCCATCAGAATAACTCAAATTAAAATGACTGTCAACATCTAATGCTGGCAAGGATATGGAGCAAAAAGAATTCTCATACACTGTAGATGGGAATGTCAACTTTCTACTTAGTGAAAAAGTCTGGCAATTGGCATAGAACTAAACATACACCTGCCCTATGATCCAACAACTCCAACAAATCTTAGGTATTTACTTAAAAGAAATGAAAAATTGGGTCCACAAAAAGACTTGTAAATCAAGACTTTAAATCAAAAAAGGTTATAAAACACAAAGAAGGACATTATTTATTAATAAAGGTTCAATACAGCAAGAAGATATAACAATTATCAACATTTACACACCTATGGACAGATCAGTAAGTATATACAGTTCTGCAATAATAGTTGGAGACTTCAATAACCCACTCATAATAAAGCAGAGGACAACCAGACAGAAGATAAGCAGGGAAATAGAGGACTTAACACAATAAACCAACTAGATCTAAGAGAATATGCATTCTATACACAACAATAGAATACACATTCTTCTCAAGTGCACATGGGACATTTTTCAGGACAGACCATATGTTATGCCAAAAATCAAGTCTCAGTAGATTTTAAAAGATAGATATCATACAAAGTATCTTTTCTGACCTCAATGGGATGAAGTCAGAAATCAATAACGAAAATGGAAAAATGGAAAATTCACAAAATTGTAAAAATTAAACAGCACATTTTTAAACAACCAATGTATCAAAGAAGAAGTCACAAGGCATATTAGAAATACTGAGAGCTGAACTAATACAAAAATACAACATATCAAAACTTATGGAACCAAGTGAAAGAAGTGCTCAGGAGGAAATTTATAGCTATAAACACATTAAAAAACAAGAAAGATCTCAAATTAACTTTACAACGTAAAAGCCAGAAAAACAAACTAAACTCAAAGCTAGCAGAAGGAAGGAAATAATAAAGATTAAAGCAGAGATAAGTGAAAGAATAAAAAAATAGAGAAAATAATTGAAACCAAAAGTTGGTTCTTCAAAAAGATCAACAAAATTGATAAATCTTTACCTACACACACTAAGAAAAAAGAGAAGACCCAAATTACTAAAATTAGAAATGGAAGTGGGAACATTACTACTGATTCTACAGAAAGGAAAAGCATTATAAGAGAGCACTATGCCAACCAATTAGACAAAATGGGCAAATTCCTAAAAACAAAACCTACCAAGACTAAAGGATGAAAAAACAGAAAACCTGAATAATATTACTTATTATTATTACTTACTATAACTAGTAAAGAGATTGAATAAGTCATCAAAAATTTCCCAAAGGGCTTCCCTGGTGGCACAGTGGTTGAGAATCTGCCTGCCAATGCAGGGAACGTGGGTTCGTGCCCCAGTCCGGGAAGATCCCACATGTCGTGGAGCGGCTGGGCCCGTGAGCCATGGCCGCTGAGCCTGCGCGTCCGGAGCCTGTGCTCCGCAATGGGAGAGGCCACAACAGTGAGAGGCCCACGAACCCCCCCAAAAAAAAAAAATTTCCCAAAAAAGAAAAGCCCTGGACCCACTGGGCGCTTAAATGAGAAAACAACCTGATTAAAAAAATGAGCCAGGGCTTCCCTGGTGGCGCAGTGCTTGAGAGTCCGCCTGCCGATGCTGGGGACGCGGGTTCGTGCCCCGTTTCGGGAGGATCCCACATGCCGCGGAGCGGCTGGGCCCGTGAGCTATGGCCGCTGGGCCTGCGCGTCCAGAGCCTGTGCTCCGCAAATGGGAGAGGCCACAACAGTGAGGGGCCCGCATAACGCAAGAAAAAAAAAAAAAAAAAAAAAAGAGCCAAAGACCTTAACAGAGGTCTATATACCAGGTATATATCTGTATATACCAAAGAATATATACAGGTGGCAAATAAGCATTTGTAAAGATGGTCCACATCATATATTATCAGGGAAATGGAAATAACAATGAGATAACACTACATACTAATGAGAACGGCCAAAATCTGGAACATTGATAGCACCAAAGGTTGGTTAGGATGCAGAACAACATGAACTCTCTCATTCACTGCTGGTAGGAATGCAAAATGATACAGCCACTTTAGAACATAGTTTGGCAGCTTCTTACAAAATTAAACATACTCTTACTTATCCAGCAATAGCACTTCGTATTTGCTTAAAGGAACTTACGTCTACACAAAAACCTGCACACAGAGCTTTTTTCAGGGCAGTGAAAATACTCTATATGATACTATAATGATACTTGTCATTATACATTTGTCCAAACCCAAAGAATGTACAACACTAAGAATGAACCCTGATATAAACTATGGTGAGTATGCTACGTCAGTGTAGGTTCATCAGAACATAGTTCATTGAACAGTACAAAACATTGCTAAACAAAATTAAATAAGACCTAAATAAATGTTTAGAAAGACATGCTGTGTTCATGGATCGTAAGACTTAATACTGTTAACATGCCAATACTAACAAACATGATCTACAGATTTAAACAATCCCTATCAAAATTCCAACAGGCTTTTTCACAGAAATGGAAAAGCTACTCTTTAAATTCATACGGAATTGAGAGGGGTCCCAAATAGCCAAAACTGTCCTTAAAGAGAATAATAAAGTTATTCCTGATCTCAAACTCACTACAAAGCTACAGTAATCAAAACATGCTAGTATGCTAGTGTGGTACTAGCATAAAGACAAATGGAATAGAACAGAGAGTTCAGATATAAATGTATACAATATGGCCAAGTGATCTGACAAGGATGTCAAGACAATTCAGTGGGGAACACAGTCTCTTCAACAGATAGTACTGGGACAACTGGATTTCCATATGCAAAAAATGTAGTTGGACCTTCACCTCACAACATATACAAAAATTAACTCAAAATGGATCAATTACCTAAATAGAAGAGTTAAGACCATAAAACTCTTAGAAGAAAACACAGGGGTAAATCTTTATGACCTTGGATTTGGCTATGAATTCTTAGACATGATAGCAAAAGCATGAGCAACGAAAGAAAAAATAGATAAACTGGATTTCATTCAAAGTTTAAACTTGTGTATATCAAACGACATTATCAAGAAAGAGAAAAGATAAACTACAGAATGCAAGAAAATGTTTTCAAGTCATGTATCCAATAATTTAATATTCAAAATACATAAAGAACCCTTACAACTCAACAACAAAGAGACAAAAAACCCAACTTTTAAAACAGGCAAGAGACTTGAACAGACATTTCTCCAAAGAAGATACACAAATGGCCAATAAGCACATGAAAAAATGCTCAACATATGTCATTAGGGAAATGCAAATCAAAACTACAAGATACTACTGCAGGCCTAGTAGGATGGCTAAAATCAAAATAACAGACAATAATAGGCATTTGCAAGGACATGGAGTAATTGGAACACTGGTACATTGTTGATGGGAATGGAAATGAAGCAGCCACTCTGGTGCAGTTTGGCAGTTCCTCAAAAAGTTAAACATAGAATTACTATGTAATTCAGTATTTTCACTTCTAGGTACATACCAAAATTTGAAAACAGGGACTCAGATAGATACTTGTACACCAATGTTCATTGTAGCATTTATTCACAATAGGCAAAAAGTAGACACAATCTAGTGTCCATCAACAGATGAATGGATAAACAAACCATGGCATATACAAACAATGGAATATTATTCAGCTATAAAAAGGAATGAAGTACTGATACATGCTACAACATCAAAGACCCACCAAGTGATTATGCTACACATTATGCTAAGTGAAATTAGCTATACATGCAAGTACAAATATTGTATGATTCCACTTATATGAAATATCTAGACTAGGCAAATTCATAGAGACAAAAAGTAGATTAGAGGTTACCACCAGCTGGGTAGAGGGGGAAATGAGGAGTTATTGCTAATAGATACAGAGCTTCTGTTTGGGGTGATGAAAAAGTTTTGAAAATAGATAGTGGTAATGGTTGTAAACATTGTGAGTATAATTAATGCCACAAATTGTACACTTAAAAATGGTTAAAATGGCAAATCTGTGTGTTTCTGGGGTTTTTTTAAGTACAAAATACACACATACGCACCCAAGAAAAAAAACTTTGGTACATATCCTTCTGCCAAATAATAATCCTAGATTTCCACAAAACTAAAACTGACTCTGTATGCAACTTTACAGAAGTCAGTGTTCTGCAATATTTAATTCTATAGCAATGCAAGTCATATGACTCCTAAAAACAGTGTGCTAAAAATTCTAAACACTAAGTCAAAGCAAAATAACATTCGTTTCCATTTTTTCAATAATCCAAGAAACTCAATAAATAAAGCTATTTTCATATTATACACACACACACCTATGCAAGTGACTATATAATGGACTATGGCCTCTGTCTGTCTCTTTATATTATTGTTTTTCATTTTGCCAGGACTGGATTTTAAGTAAATCCTGGTCACTGACATTAAGCCTTTAACACTTACAAAATACACTGCTCCAAAGCTTCCATGGCCAATTTCTCTGAGATCTGTGAAGAGCTTCTCTGGATCTTCTTTGAAGAAGAGCTCTGCAATTTCAGGGTCCTTCAGGCTGCCCGCACGGTTAGTTGATGGCATCCTGCTGGGCAATCAGCTGTCTGATTCTAATTTTATATTGCTATCCCAATCCTTGGTTCATCTGTATGAATGAAGCCACGCTGGCATAAACTATTGTAGAGAAATAAGAAAAGAAAAAAGTCAGGAAAACCAAAAGCTGCTAAGAATAATTAGTATAAGATCATTTTCTGATAGCAGATATAAAATTATCTCGGGCCTAGAATTTCACTGAGAAGGAAGTGTGATCTACTAGTGCAGTAGTTCCTAAATCTGGCTCATCATCACGATCACCTGTGGTGCTTAAAAAAATGAGTCCTGCTATACATAGGGTATTACTGTACATATACTTTTAAAAATTAAATAAATCTTTATATCTTGGAAGGTTTATCTAATCCTTATCTAATTCTGAGGTAGTGAGCCCATTGGCAGAAGAGATAATAGAACACACAGACCATTAAAAAAACATGCATGACAACTTAAGATGTACCAGTAATATGTTTCTAACAACGGGAAGATTCCCATCTATTAATGATTTTCAAATATAAGAAAATACACAAAGGATTTAACTCAGTTAGCTGTCTTTTCCTTTCAGATACCATATGCCAGTGTTCAATCAACTCTAACACAAACATTCCAAAGAAAAATGCAGTAGGAGAAAGTAATGAATTTAATGCAGACAACTGCTTCCCCTGTAAACCTGACTCACATTAAAATATGGTCTTTATCAAATCTGCTGCATTAGATAAGTAGACACTACAGATAACCAATAAATTACCTGGTGGTTCCGCTATCAGTTCCTCTATATCAGATACACAATTTAAAAAATGGCTGTCATTACTGAGAAACTTCAGAACCTAGGTTCTGGAATGTTACTACCTGGATATGAATCCTAGCAACACTATTTATAAACTGTGAACTTGAGTAGCCTTATTTTCCTAATCTGTAAAGTGAAAATAATATCCTACCTAATACAGTGGTTGTGAAGGTTAAATGAGTTAATAAATACAAGCATAGACTAGTACTCAGGGATAGTAAGCACTACATTAAATGTCAGCTATTGTAACCTAAATAAATTCACCAATCAAAAAAAAAAAAGAAAACCCTCCAAAATGTATTTCATTTGCCTCCTAATTGATTTCATTAGACTCTAGTCAATTCTCCCCCACTTCACACAACTTTTAAGCAGGTAACTACTGGTCTCATTTTTAGTGAAGTCAACTGAACCAATTTTAATTTTTGGTAGAAAACTTCTTTGTAACTACATAAAACATATTTACATGTCTTTTGTACCTCCTTAAAAATTAACACTCTACTGCAATAAAAACATTTAAATTATTAATTTGTATTTCATTTCTAACACACTTTCTAGGCTGCCCCATATACATTCACCAATTTTCCTGCTCTGCAAGTTCCCTGCAAAGTGTTTCAATTATAGTTCTAAGAATATGTGATCATAGAAGATTGAAGTAAATTCCATAAAAAGTATTATTATTCAATTAATCCACCTGTTTTTAAAAAACTTGCAGTGTTACTTAAGACTTATTTAAGAACTCTGAATGATCAAGTTATAGTACCTTTATTACAAGAATTATTTTACATTAAAATTCTCTAACCAGTTCTATGATTTGCATATTCCTATCTGCCTAACAAATTCCCACTCAAAATCTTTCAAGATTTAGATTAACTGTAATGTGTAAAATTTTAACTAGACAGGTAGGCACAATGTGTCTCATTCATCTTTATATTACCTGTCTACATCCTACACCATACCTCCAACAGTTAATATTACATAAATATTTGTTTAACTAAAAGAATACACTTAATTCTTCTCTAACACCCCTTAAAGTGATTTCGTTTCCAGAAATATTTACCAAATAGTATACATGAGAATATGATATGCGAAATATTAAAGTTAATAGTAGAGAAACAGAGTAAATTCATTAAGGACAGCACCCTCCAGAAAATCAGAGAAAAAAGAAATGAAGGAACTGGAAAATCTGCTGTACCAAATACCAAAAGATAATACAAATCTATTGCTATCAGTAGAATGTTAAAATAAGACAAGTAAACCATTAATCTAAAAGAGTCCAGAAACAAACCCATGTATGTGTATCTCGGAATTCAGCATACAATTAAAGGAGAAGAAATAAATTTTGTTAAGAAAACTAAGAACCCATTTGGAAAAAATTATAAAAATTATATAATGATATCCCTATCACATACCTTACATAACCATTACTGCTAAATGGCTTAAACAAACCTCTCAAATCAATGAAGAAAAAAAAGTATTTGATAAAATAAGTGTTGCCAGGAGACCCCAACAGCTATTTGGAAAAAAATAACACCTGTTCCTCAAACTGTAATATCAGAATTACATATGGGTCAGAAATGCAAAAATTAGAAAAATGAAACTATATAAGTACTAGTAGGAAATGTAAGTTCCTCTGTAATCAGGGAATGTAGAAACTTTCCTAACTATGATCCAAATCCAAAACAGTAAGGAAAAAGACAGATATATTTAACAGGATAAAAAAAAAACTTGGGAGAAGGGGCCATGGAAAAAGACACTCCAGACAAAAAGGACAAATGATAAACTTGGGAAAAAAATGTCTGAAACTTACGTTTACAAAGGGTTAGTATTCCTAATATGTAAAGAATTTCAAAAAAACAAAAAAGACAATAACCTGACATTCTTACATTCTTAATACGTAGTTTCTAAAAACAGCACACCGCCCCCCCCAAGAAAACACCACCACCACCACCACCACCACCAACCCAGAGGAGATATGGGTAGTTAGTTCACAGAAAAAAAAAAAGAAAGAAAAGAAACAACCATGAAATCTATGAAAATACATTCAACATCACTCAAAGTATAAGAAATACAAATTAAAACTATCCTAAGATTTCATTTTGTACCTATAAGAATGGCAAAAATTCACCACACACTGATGGTGGGGTGGAAGAGAAATCTGCACTCTCATATAGTAGCAGTGGTAATACAAAAACTACAAAACCTGTGGAGAAAAATCTAGCAAAATCAAATATGCACTTACCATTTCACACAAAAATCCTACTTAAAGAATCCATATCAAAAATACTTATATAAAATATAAGAAATGATAAATGTACAAAGTGAGGAACTAGGGGAATCCCCTGGCGGTCCAGTGCTTAGGACTCCTCACTTCCAACTGCAGGGGGCCCGGGTTTAATCCCTGGTCAGGGAACTAAGATCCCATAAGCCATACAGATGTCCAAAAAAATAAAAAGATCAAAAAAAAAAAAAAAGTGAGGAACTGGAACTCATTACCTTGTTGATGGGAATTTGAAATGATACAACCATTCTGGAAAACTGTTTAACAGATTCTTATCAAGTTAAATAAACATTTATTATGAGATGGAACAGTTCCTTAACTAGTTATCACTCACTCAAAAGTAATGAAAACAAAGGCACACAAAAAGACTTGTACACAGCAGCTTTATTCATAATAGCCCCAAACTGCATATAATACAAACATCTATCAACAAATATATGTATAATAAAATTGTGATATATTCACACAATGAAATTCTTTTCACAGCAATAAAAAGGAATAAAACTACTGATCCATGCAGGAACCCAGATGAATTTCAAAAGCATTATGCTCCAGCAAAAAAAACCCAGAAACCAAACAGTAAAAACTGTATGATTCCCCTGAAAAATTCTCAAATAGGCAAAACTAGTATTGCGACAGAGTCACTGTTGTTTGGGGTCAGTTGGGGGAAGAAAAGGGGAACTGACCATGAAAGGGCTCACAAGGACTTTCTGGGGTAATAGAATCTTCTATTACCTTGACTGCAGCAGTGAATTACTCTTGTCAAAACTCCAACTATATTAAAATAGATGCCTTTATGTATATTATACCTCAATTCAAGTAATAACTTTAAAAAAATTAAATAAATGTCTTAAAATCTAAGATAAATATATGTAGGGATTTCCCTGGTGGTCCAAGTGGTTAATACTCCATGCTCGCAATGCCGGGGGCCCGGGTTCGATCCTTGGTCAGGAACTTAAAATCCCACATACCGCAAGTAGAGAAGCCCACATGCCGCAACAAAGACCCAGCACAGCCAAATATTAATTAATTTTAAATATATATATGTGTGTGTATATATATGTGTATATAAAAATATATAAATATATGTGTATATATACATATTTATATATATAAGATATATATATATAGCAAATTTATAAACAAGGTATGGAAGGATGTGTATTAAAATGTTATTATTTTCTCTGATAAAGTAGGGTTGTGAAGAACATTACTTGTTAACCTAGACATCTATATTACCTGAATTTTTATAGCAACCACTTTCAACGTTTTAAAAAATTTTAAATTTGAGAAAAATAAAATAGAATACTTTTTAAACTAGAAGAATACATACTCCAAATAGAGAGAACATCCAAAAGGCTATTAGTACTTTAACTTACAAAAGACTAATGCATTAAAAAAATCTGTATATCAAAAAATTGAGTTGAACGCAAAAACTGAAACATCCAGAGCACACAAAATTAAGCGTTATTATTATTCCTTAAAGATAGAGGTATCATCCAAATCACTGACCAAATACCTAATCCACCAAAATATAAATGGCCAAAGGATATATATCAACATGCCATAAACAGGCAATACAAATGATTGGGGAGAGAAGTCAAAACTTGAAGAATAATGGGTATGGCCACGAGTTTTCTGATTCCATTTTCCTCCTTTATCTCTCGTCTCTGACGGAAGAGTGTGGCCTCAGTTACAAAACAATGTTCAGGGTGCTGACAAGAAAACACTTAAAGAAATTCTCCCCCTGTCCAAAGGACCAGGAAAAGGGAACCCTGTGATCTGGAGATTGTGGGGGGAAATGCCTTCTTTTGGTCTTTTCTTTTTTCTCTCCTCAGCCATAGAATTGCACTGCCCCAGCAACAGAAAAATCCGATGAGAAAACCAATCTCTCTGGCCAGAAAAACTGGGAAAACAGACTCTCTGTCATCCAAAAAGTATTAGGGGAATTCCCATTATTTTTTTTCCTCCTCTCTCTTCTTTCCCCACTTCACTTAAGGGTA